TGTCACTCCCCCTCCATAAGCATTGGCCTGCGTGTGACATCTATGTGATAAGGTGGCCTGAAGCTGCCCTCCCCACCCAGAGGCCCAGCAGAGGCCTGGCAAGAATGTGAAAATCCAATGGACCAAGTCATAACCTTGACTGAGGAGTATGGCTACTTCACTCATGGCAGGAACCATCTGATCATTCATATGGCTCCAGAAACGTTTTACTCAAAAGAAAGTGTCTTTCCCCAACAGTCAAGATTAATAGTTTATGAATTGCTTCATTTATCAGTACTATGATGTACTGTATAATCCACCAGGTTTCAAGTTACTGGAAATTTGCAGGTGATGGGAACCAGTCTTTTTATCAACTTTGCATAATCTGATCTGGGTTCGGATTGATAGAATGCTTTGGGAAGAATTGGAGGAGTGTTTCATACTAGGATCTCCCGGGGTTCTGATGCATTAATGGGAGGAAAGTATCTCTGTCAAATGCTACAGTTTTTGAGGAGCTTAAAACACCTGAAGACAAAGCCTTGAATTTTATGAGTGTCTGCCTGAAACCAGAAACAGAAACCCCTTACCAGCTTACTCAATAGAGTTAATTCAGCATGGAAAGGCACCAGGAAAAGATCACTATGTCTTACTGTCCCCCGAGTAAATAAGCTAACAAACACAGAGGAGAGGTGCAGGTTGTCACCCTTAGGCCAAGAATCTGGGTGGACAGCCCTGTCAGAGTCTATAAAGGTCACTCTGAGGCTCCAGGAGTGGCAGATGGCCAGAGAGTGGCCAATTGGAGGCACACTATTGAGCCTCAGGATTGAGCCTTCCACTGTTAACCCCTCAGGAAAAAGACAGCTTTGAGTCTCCTGACCCTTTCCCCAGAGAGCAGGAAATGACCAGGGCTTGAGGATAGCCAGAGGCCGTGCAGAGTTACCCATAGCATCTCCACTTTGGCCTCAGAGGCCACCTCTTTCTTCTCTCTATGCTCTTTAAAATAAAATTATTTTTCTAGTGTAAAAGTATTATATGAATGTTCTATGAACTACAAATAATACAGACATGTAAAGAATAGAAATTTCCCATTATTTGATGCCTCCCCCTCCCCAAAGTAACCTAAAGTTAACAATTTAAATCTATACCCAGAATTTTTCTTCTCCATATTTATAGATATCTACACATATATAATTAATACAACATAAATATTTTATAGTACACCCTGTTCTCAAGATGCTTTTCCACTGTAGTTGTTTAATAAATATTTATTGCATGAATGAGCCATAATTTATTTATTCAATCGCCTATTAGAGGCCTTTTGGTTTGGTCCCAGTCATCTAATAAACATGATTTTAGATATAGAAGACATAATTGAAATACATATAACACATATAGAAACATAACCCATAACTGCATATCATAAATACATCCTTAAATATACTAATAAAATATGCATGCAATGGAGAGGTGTTTTGGGTGCCCACTGGTGTATTTCGTGGATATCCCTGGAATATATATTGATAAATCAGCTTCAGAAAGAAAGCTTCCAGACCGTGTTTTAGGATCTGTAGGAATAAAGGGTGGCCGTCCTGCATTTGTTATGTTGTTTCAACATAGCATTTGTTATGTTGTTTTATTGACTTTACGTCCTTGGCAAAGCGGCTTGACTAAGATAAGATCCAGAAACTGATCATGGTAACAAGGCAACAATTAATTTTAGACAGAACAGAAAAGGAATCTGCTTCAGATTCTCTTTAGAACAGGAAGGAAAGGGTGATTGTGGGTTAGTGGGAAGGAAGGAAAGAGGCAAGAAAGGAAAGTGAAAAACGAAGAATGGAAATGCTTTCTCCTGCTGGGGATTTGGATGTTTGGAGTACTCTTGTCAGATGCTACAGCGTAATCACTAAATGTTTTAAAGGATGCAACATTATGATAGATTTCCCTTTCTGACTTGTTCCTGGGGGTGAACACACAATGGTTTACTCCCTGCCACAGGCTGGAGGCTTGGCCGCTCCTGGGTTTGTCCAAGGAAGCCTGGAATATCCAACGCCCTTGAGAGTGAGCGTGTCCCCTGTCTCTAGGTGTTGCCACTTGTGCTGAGATGAAGCCTAGCAAGCACTGCCATGTGGCAGAGTGGATGCCACTGCAGATGGAGTGCAGTGTCCCAGGCAGCCGGGGCGGCCGCTCAGCCCTTGCCTGGGCCGGAGGACTGTTGCATCAGCCCCCAGATGAGATAGCAGCTGTCCGGGTGGCTGAACCAGGGAAAAGAAACTCCACTCGGTGGTCTCCACGGAGCTAGGGAAAAAGGAAATGGGTTTTTGTGATTTTCCCTTCTTTAGAAACAAAAGTGCTTAAATGTGATCCTTTAGCTCTGTCAATGCAAACCAGGGCCTGGTGGACCGGGGAGAACAATTAGGCCAAAGACTGAGCACAGGAAGCCAAAAGGGGGTAGAAACCCAGACAATGGTGCTGAGCCGGGGGTTGGGGTGGTGGGGGGAGCGGATATGATAGCAAGGAAGGAGTTTCAATGTGAATGAATACTAATTAGTGACATGGATATTAATGATGACAGTAATTAACAGGGGAAAGGAAGGGCTGTCATTGTCCCAGGGTGAGTAATCAATCTTGGCAGGTGATAAATAATGGTTCGGCAAGCTCAGCAGAAAGATAATCCGCAGGCCTGGGGGAGAGCTCGGCTAATGCAGGAAACCTCGCAGTTTCTAGGCAACCCACTAAAAAGAACTTTTTTTTTTCTTTTTTGAGACGGAGTCTCACTCTGTGGCCAGGCTGGAGTGCAGAGGCATGATCTCGTCTCACTGCAACCTCCTCCTCCCCTGTACAAGCAATTCCCCTGCCTGAGCCTCCCAAGAAGCTGGGACTACAGGCACATGGCACTACGCCTGGCTAATTTTCTGTATTTTAGTAGAGACGGGGTTTCACCATATTGGCCAGGATGGTCTCAAACTCCTAACCCTGTGATCTGCCTGCCTCGGTCTCCCAAAGTGCTGGGATTACAGGCATGAGCCACTGCACCCAGCCAGAACTATTTTTCTTTTGAGGAAAAAACAGGTTAGAATCTCTCTCCCACCCCCAGCTTGGGGCTACAGTTCTGATTTGATTTCTGCTTTGTTCTTCATTTCCTGGGACAAATGTTGAACTTGTAGAATTTGGAGGAAAGGGACACACAGGCACATGTACACATGCCTATTCATTCTCTCTCTCTCAATATAAATGAATAGGAATGTTTTTGATCTAAAGTTTAACTCACAGATGCTGTCCAGGAGCAGTAAGAGTGAGGAGAAGCCTAGAAGTGCTGCCTTTGAGGTTGACGCAGGGAAACTGCAAAATTGCAAGGCTGTGTCGGTGGAACTGGGGCACACAGGAGGACCAGGATGGCCCTGGGGGTCCCACTGTGCAGGGTTACTTCACCTGCCATGGACCCAGAGAGAAACAAAATGTCTAGGCTCCCTGTCCCGTACCAGTCCCACTTCTGGCCACCAGTCACATATCTAAGAAATCTGCTCTGTGGGAAGAGGGCAATCCTCATGAAGCCCCTCGGCTGGATCCCCAGGCCTTCAGCCAGGAATCCAGCCCAGGAGAGTCCTTGGCACATCCCCTCCCTCGCACCAAAGCCTCGGACCCACGGTAGGACTCTGATGTCTAGAAATGTCTTCCCTTGCAGGCTGTGTTCCATCAAACAATTCAGAGGTGACAACGTCACACCTTCAATGGTCTGCACTGGTTTAAAATGAGATCTTTGGGTGGCAAAGGTAGGTTGACCAGAAATTCAGAACCTTCCAGAAAACTGGACTCCTCTACTCCCATGTACACAGTGCTGCTCTCAGAACATCGTTTGTGGGTCATATTTTCAAAGAGAGGCAGACAGAAAACATATTCAGAGGATTGGGAACATATGGTGAGGAACTCCAGTCCAGGCCATGCAAGGAAGCAGCTGAGGGACCGGGCCTGTTGCACTTGGAGGGAGGACGTCGCTGGTATGCTGCAGGACTGTCCGAATAGCTGAAGGGCTGTCGCACAGAGTGGTTAGGTTGGGGTTTGTGTCTCTATCATCAAAGGGCAAAACTGAGGCCAAAGGGAGGAAGTCAGACAGGGGCAAGTTTCTTTTCAGATAAATCAAGGCTGATTTAACTGGGTCAGGCTGGGTAGGGGGAAGTTTGTGAGTTCCCAGGTACTAGGCATTCTAAACACAGGTTACAGCATCTCTTGTCCAGGGTGTTGTGAATGGGACTTGTGTATTGGCTAGGGTTGGAGTAGACAAGCTTTAAAAGTTACTTCAGACTGTTAAGATTTATATTCATTAAGATAATACTAGTTACCAAAATAGCTAAGTCCCACATTTCAGGGGCTGAACACAACAAAGTTTATTCCTCATCAAGTCAGAGCCCCACATGGGCATAATGTCCATGGCTGGAACCATGACTCCCTCCCTACTGTGGCTCTGCGTTCCCCCAGGTCTTCACATCCAGCCAGCAGATGGGATTGAAAGGGCTATGGCACAGTGAGGAGAGGAAAGAGGTCTTGGTGAATACATAGACGTTTCTGCCACGAATGCAGGGGCACATTCATTCAGGATAGGCCTGTGCCAAAAGAGATGAGAGTTTTGCAAGAACCTATGAGGTCACCTGTGTTGGTCAGCCCTTGTAATTGACGGTAGGGAGCTGAAGAGGCCTCCTTCTTCAAGAAATGGTCTGGGGGCCAGGCATGATAAAGCTTCACCTAGCATGTCTCGGGAAGTCCTCTATAGACACTGCCTAGAAATGTGAATATAAGCTCATCCTGCATCATCAGAAGTGAGTGTTTTTTGGACGAGAATGGAATTGTAACTATGGAAGTGTACTGAAGAATGGAAAGGGTTGGTTAGGACAAAAAAAAGTGTCCATATTATCCTGCTCTACAGTGTGGACTGATTGGAATTAGGATTCTCTTAGGTAAACATGTTTCTTCTGCCACAGTGTTAAACACCCAGGAGGTCTTCAGCTGAAACTGCTTTGTCGTTGCAGGTACTGACGTTGTGCAGTGGCTTATGAAGAACCTTTCCATTGAGGACCCAGGTACTTGACCTTTGACCCTGCCCTTCTCTCCCCTGGTATCAGTAAACATCCCATAACCAAGTTCCAGACTAGATTTTCCTACCCTCCTGAGAGCTGGTCTTGTAAATGTGAGTTCCAAGATGTGGAATCACTCTATTTACAAACAAAATTAATTTATTTTCTCCTGAATATTTGTCTGTAAATTTAAATCCCGCTTTGAGGAAATGAGCAACTATTTAGAATGCCAAAGAGCCCCGTACAATAATGTGTGTGAAATGAGTTGAATTCTCGTTAGCTGCAGCAATTAAAGATAAGTTGTAGCACTGTCACTGAACAGCCTTCTAGAGCCAGCTCTTAAAATTAGATTGCCTGATCCACAATTAAGATGTTTAATTATTTGCTAAGACTCCCTCTGTTTTCTGCTTCTGCAAGAAGTGAAGGAATGATGTTTTTTTCAACTTTAATTGTGCATTTCAATTAGGAAGTCCTTACCAGGAAAACGACAACAAAACCCTGGCCAATAAAACAATTTCCAAATCTGTCCTCCCACCGGAAAATAGGCAGCAAAATTTATTTTCACAGCGTAATTAGGAAATGGCGGGGGGGAGGGTGTTCCAGAAAAATAAAAATTCAAGATAAGTAGAGCTTATTCCCCTGTGCTATTAGTTAATACTTTTCTGAATTTATTACATACTCCTTCGCCTTGATTAAGTGAGTATTCTTGATGCCTGAAGGTCACATTTATAAAGATCCACTAATACACTCTGATGTTCTTAATGGACATTGGCGTGATTAAACTTATCTGCCCCAAATTAAATGGCCCCGAACCACAATGCTTTTTGAAGATTTTTTTCAAGTACCCATTCTGGATCTGTGACCTTCAGCTGTGATTTCCTGCGGGAATCAGTGTGTCAGCTTGGCACTCCTGTGTTTTAACCCAACATTTCTAATCTACTGTTGCCTGCAAAACAATACAGTTTCTATGCAGTTTAATTATATACAGTTGTTAGAACTCTGAGTGCCAGAAAAGCAGATCATTCATAGAAGTGACCTGAGTCTTTTCACCCGCTTCATTAGTGGCTACGCTCACAACTAGCGAAAATTCTTAACTGTAGTCAGGTTCTTGATTCATGGGGGAAAAACTATAAATGCTAACCCTATGTAAGCGATAGAACCCAAAGCAACTCCCTATATGTTGTCCCTGATGCAGCCTGGACCTCTGAGTCCTCTGGAAAGCCTGGACTGGATCAGCATCTACCTGTTTAGTTACATGTATTTAAAGTCAGTATTTCCTGTGATTATAATGCTAAACTAAGGAACGTATTTCCTCATGGCCACCTTTTCTCTTCCAAGAGCACTGGCTTCTTTGCCTCCTAAAATAATCATTGTGTTCCTGACATATATTTTATTATTACTATAATGAGAATCCTAAATTGGCTAGCAGTATGTGAGAATGAGCTTCAGGAATCCTCCAGCCCTGGCGTGAGAAGCTTCTGTGAAGGATCCTGAATGATGAGAGTTATTTCTATGAAAATCTGTTATACTCTGATGCCCTTGGGAAGACACTATGGTATTGGGGCCTGTTTGGGCTTCTGAGAAGTGGCTGAGAAGGAGCAGAGCTAAGAACAATTTGTCAACTGGGAATAGAAGGGGGGAGATGAGGCAAACCAAGGCCTTGGGAAACAGCCAGATCCAGCGTCTGCCCCTCTCTCGTTTCTTCTTCCCATCAGCCAGTTTCCTGTGGTTATTTTTTGTTTTTTGAGGCAGGGTCTCACTCTGTCGCCCAGGCTAGAGTGCAGTGGCACGAGCATAGCTCACTGCAGCCTTGACCTCCCTGGCTATCTTCCAGCTCAGTCTCCCGAGTAGCTGGGACTACAGGCTCGTACCATCACACCCAGCTAATTTTTTGTTTTATTTTTTGTAGAGATGGGGATCTCACTGTGTTATCCAGGCTGGTCTTGAACTCCTGACCTCAAAAAATTCTTCTGCTTTGGCCTCCCAAAGTGCTTGGATTACAGGTGTGAGACACCGCCCCTGGCCCCATTGCCAATGTCTAAGCAAAAACATTTTTGCTCAGAGAATGAAGGTAGAGTCTTAGCTCCAAGACTGGTGGCATGAAAGTCACCTTCCTACAGGATTTTGTTCTTTCTCCTATGGGGAAGGAGCAGCTGCTGATGATGAAACTTCTGTTCTAGCTGGACTCATGGTTCTTGAAGCTTATAGACTTTAAAAAGCAAACTGGCCAGACATGGTAGCTCATGCCTGTAATCCCAGCTCTTTGGGAGGCTGAGCTGGGAGGCTTCCTTGAGCCCAGGAGTTCAAGACCAGCCTGAGCAAGATGGCAAGACCCTACCTCTACAAAAAAAATGTAAAAATAAAAGAAATTAGACAGATGTGGTGGCATGTGCCTGTGGTTCCAGCTACCTGGGAGGCTGGGGCAGAAGTATCACTTGAACCCAGGAGTTCAAGGCTGTGATGAGCTGTGATCATGCCACTGCACTCCAGCCTTGGTGACAGAGTGAGACCTGTCTCTGAAAAAAATAATAATAATAATAGCAAATTTGTCATCACTAAGTAAGTAAAATAAAACTCCATTCATTCTAATTCCACCAGTTACATGTATGTTTCTTTCAAAGGAGAATAGGTGGTTCTTAATAAGCAAAACATTGCATTGTATTCAACTTCTTGAAAAATTTGCAAGTAAAGCCAAAACAAACTACTTTAAAAAGTCAGAGCTCATGAAATTAATAATTGCTAGAGACTCCATGAGCACATTAACAATTTCCATGTCCAAAAATTAGTCTTAACCTGTAACAGTACTTTTGGATTTGTGAAAGATTACTTTTTGTGGTAGAAGCATTGAGGTTTGTTATTTTGTCTTAGCTCTGCTCAGGATAAATCTAAATTCTTAACCTTTTTAAAAAAAATTTCTTAACTGAGACAGGGTCTTGCTATGTTGCTCAGGCTGTTCTCAAACTCCTAAACTCAAGCAATCCGCCTACCTCGGCTTCCCAGAGTGCTGGGATTACAGGCCTGAGCTACCATGCCCCACCTATATTCTCAACTTCCTATGTGCATCTATTTATGGCTGGTGCTAAAGGAACAAAGGAACAGATTGATTGTGGCAAAAATATAAGTATTTCTATCAGGTTGGCCTCTCTCTGTCACTGCCCACTTCAGTGTCCCTCCTCTAATTTTCAAAGGAAGTGAGGTTTTCCTCTCTGTCCATAAGAGAAGGGTAACATGCTTCTCATCCCTGATGGGACTGTCATACTGGGGAACGCAGTGGGAGTCCTATGTCTCTATGGGTAGTGAGGCTGCATTCTTACTGCTGGGGATGATGAAACTGATATGAATCAGAGCTGCCAGCACTTATGGAGTATTTGACCTATACCAGACACTGCTAATAACTTCATGTGAAATATCTCACTTAGTTAAATACAGGTTCATCTATGCCAGAATTTATGCCCTTGACCCTGAAGCCAGACTTTCTTCTGAAGGTCAGGGTGGAGAGAAGTGAAGCAATGTCAGACTCTCGGAGGTGGGATTCACACAAGTCCCAGACACACAGTGGCCCTTTCCAGCCATTGGCATCTCCCCTCCTCACCCCCACACTGAGCAAGGGTAATCATGTCATCAACACAGTCATCTGGGGGTGATGACAGTTGACTTCTGATCTCCCAGCTTAATTTTCAGCCAAATAACCTGCTTCCTAATTCCTTCTCTCTCTATGCACTGTTCTTACAGTTGAAGCAATACACTTGGGAAGCCTTATCGCTGCCCAGGGCTACATCTTTCCAATCTCGGACCATGTTCTCACCATGAAGGATGATGGTACCTTTTATCGTTTCCAGGTAAGCCTGCTGGCTCCTCCTCCTGAAGAACCTTTTCTTCTCAACATCATCTGATCTCAGCTTAGAACTACAAAGAAAACCTAGGGATATTTGAGGGAGTAACCCTCACTCCTCATCAGCACTGGGAAAGCCAAGAGAACTTTCGTCTGGACCATTGGGTGACTCACTTAGAGAATAGTAAAAGGCTGTCACTGAGAGCCTACCATGCCCTGGGCCTTAGTCCCTTTGGGCTGCTACAACAAAATACCATAAACTGGGTATCTTATAAACAAAAAAATTTTACTACTCATGGTTCTGGAGGTTGGCAAGTCCAAGACCAAGGTGCCGGCAGATTTGGTGTCTGGTGAGGGCCTGCTGTCTGGCTCATAGAAGGTACCTTCTAGCTGCGTCCCCACAGGGCAGACAGGACCTGGAGCTTATATCAGGCCTCTTTTATAAGGGTACTAATCTCATCTGTGAGGGCTTCAAAGGCCCCACCTCCCAATACCATCACCTTGGGGATTAGGATTTCGACATGTGAATTTGAGGGGGACGCAGACATTCAGACATCGTAGACACTTTGTACAGATTTCCTCATTTATTCTGAAAAGCACACTTTAAGGGGTAAATATCACCCATTTTACAGATAAGAAAACTAAAGTGCTCACAGAATTAAAATGTCATTTAGTAAATCCAGGAGCAGCCTTAATTTGAACCTAAGTGAGCCTGATAGCACAGACCTTGATCTTTCTACTGTCTCATGCTGCCTTCTCCAGAGTGAAGTTTCTATTTGCTACCTAATCACCCTCCCCACCCATTTTACATTCCTTCTCCCAGATCCTTCCCTAGAGGTTAATGAGGGCAGAGGATACGGGCTTGAGTCAAGGTCTAACCAAAGGGTTTAGGAGAAGAGTTCTTCAGACTAGGTTAAAGGGAGAAAAGGAACATGGGCTTAGGTGCCCGGTAAGTTATGCCAGCCTGACTTTTGTACTTAGACCTCTATTGTCTCAGGATGAGAATATATTTCCCTGTAAACAAAACTTCTCATTTTTGCATTTATTTTGCTTACCTTACATTTTATTTGTCAATGCCTAGATTAAAATGTTGACTCATTTCAGCTGCATTAGAGAAGAGGAGAGCATTGTGGGGAAGCATCAGCAAGAAGGAGTTGGGGGAGAGCCTGCCATCAGGGAGGCTCCTCCCTGGATGTGGGAGGGAAGTGCAGGCATGGCACACCTATGAGCCCTGACACCCATGCTCCTTTGCAGGCTCCATACTTCTGGCCTTCGAACTGCTGGGAACCTGAAAACACTGACTATGGTGAGAACTGAAGCCACAGCCCACACTGTGTGTCACTTCTGGGTGTGCAGAAGACAAATGCTTGGTGTGGGCAACTGTGGTACATGGGCAGGAGGGTCCTTTCTGCTTAGTGCTTTCTCATATTGTTGCTTTATAACAAATTTTCTATTCCACATAACAGAGGAAGGCCCAGCTCACTGAAAGGTGTAGTCCTTGGAGGGGAAGCAGGAGAGGGAAGAAAAATCTTATCAAGGGTGGTCAGTATGTTCATCTTGGGGCCATGGAGAACCAGGATCCACAGCAACACTATGGGATGGTGACTTTTAATTGTTCTTTCCAGGGATAGGGCTTCAGGGAGGGCTGGATCAAGGGGCTACCTCTTCCTGGCCCTTTCTGTTCTCACAGACTTGTCAAAACTTACTAAGAACCTTTTGGTGTTCTTGATAGTTGCAATGTAGAAAAAGGAGAGAGACCAGAGACAGGTATACAGAAGTCATCCTGGACTAGGAAAATAAAGAGTGAGTGAAGCTGGGAGTTCTCTCTCTCCAGACGGGGACCTACAAGACTTCTTCTGCCACATACTCTCAATGGAGATTATTTAATATTCCTATATGCCAGTTCTCTGCAGAAGTTATATTATCACTATGCTTAAGAGAAAGAACCTGAGGCCCAGAGAGGCCACACCCTCACACTACCACATTGTCTGAATGCTCCCTTGATTGTAAGCCTCATGAGGGCAGAGGCTGGTCCAGCTTGTGCATTCTCATATCTCCAGTGCATAGCCCATGTCTGAGGCAGAGTTAGTGCTCAGTAAATATCCACTGACAGTTCTGGTTCTTTATTGAAGGTGATCAACAGACACTCACTAGAGGGAGCAGAACTCGAACTCAGATCTGAGTGGCTCCAAAACCCATGCTTCTTTCACGGTCCTGTACGTGACATGCCTGAAGGTTGTAGCAGCAGCACTGCCCCTTTGCATGCATCATTGCTGCTGACTCAGCTGCTGTGGCAGTCTGGTCTGTGGCTCTCCTGGGGACTGGGACACTCAATGAGTCCTGCAGCTTCTTTGCAGAATTGTTTAAGACAGGAAGGCAGATGCAGCTGTGATGAGCGGGAGGGAGATGTGCAGCTAGGTGGTGATCAGGGGAGCCTGTCTGGGAGACCGCTGGGATAAGATACAACCTTGGAGTCACATGTTCAAGCAAGAGGAAACTGACAACAGAGAGCCAACCTGAGGATGAAATACCAGTGAGCTGTTACCTACTAAGGCTGGAGTTGTTCCACGGCCAAGTGTGGAGGACATCAGTCATGCAGAAGGGCAGGCCCTGGGGCTGTCTGCTTGGCTATCCACAGGCCACCGTGGGCCCTCTGACACTGTGCTGCACCCTGACCAATGTGATAAGTGGATCCAGGAAGGCTTCCGGCTGCAAGCGAGAGCTGCATTTGACTGCTCGTGAAACTAGTGCTTCTGAGGCTGAAAAGACTGCTCATGAAAGCCCAACTTGGAATTTGAGTAATTATAGCTCAGTTCCATGCAGCAACGTGTGCCCTTGTAAATGTGAAAACCACTATTTTTCCAGGCAGTGGAGACGGTGGGAGGATGGTAAGACCAGATACCTGGCCCAAGTAAGATTAAAATATTTTCTTCCACAAAGCTTAGGCCATCTTATGCTGAGTACTAAAGGGCATCAGCGCCCTGTGTCTACAGGTGTTCTTCATTTCATAATTTTAATTGTGCATCATGAACAGGGAAAGAAATGACAGTTTGTTTCAGGCTGTCACTAAAGAAAAATTATTTTAAATTCCTGTGCCTCAATTATGGCAAATCCGAGGGAGAAATCAAGGTTCAGGATGCAGAAGTGTTCACCAGGGGCCAGGCATGGTGGTACATACCTGTAATCCCAGGGACTCGGGAGGCTGAGATGGGAGGATCACTTGAACCCAGGAGTTCAAGGCTGCAGTGAGCCATGATTGTGCCACTGCACTCCAGCCTGGGTGACAGAGGAAGACCCTGTCTCCAAAACAAAGAAAAACCAGTACTCCCCAGGGTTTCCAAAGCAGTTTAGTTACAAAATCAGGATGTATTTACCAAGAGAGAATCCAGCACAGTGAGCCCCCAGGATCAACCAGTTCCACTAGCTGGGTGATCTTGGCAAATTACTTAACCTCTCTGTGCCTCAGAGACCTCATATTAAGATTAGAGTAGTAACAGCACTTGTCTCCTAGTGTTGTTTTGTTAGGATTAAATGAAATGCATGTAAGGTTCTCTGAGTTAATACGGGGTGGTGGTTGGTATCACTACTGGGGTGAGGTTAGTATTATTGCCACTGGGATGCTGGTTGATGTTATTATGACTGAGGTGAACCTTCTCACCAGGAAGCATGTGAAACTGAAGCTAAGAATTCAATATAGTATGATTTAGACTGATGAAGTACCGGACACTTTCATTCAATCGATAAATATTTACTGGTCCCCACTCTGTCAAATTCTATGTCGGAGATTTGAATAAGTCACAGCCTTTCCCTGCAAGCATCCCAGGCTGGGAGAGGCAGCATGATGCAGGGAAGAAAGGCATGGTGAGGATCTGGCTTGAGTATTCAGAGGTTTTATGTGATGAATGATTGAGAAGGCTGAATAGCTTGGAAGGGGCGGGTTTATAAAAAGGCCCTGGCCGTCAAGGAGAGACGTTTAGAATGGAGTCAGCAGTTTGGGGAAGCTATTGTGGGTCCCCAACAATGAACACACTTTCCCAAGTTTTTTCCCAACTTGGGAAGAAATTTGTTCATCTATAAGATGGGGGTAATAACAGAACCCACCTCGTAGATTTGTTATGAGGATTAAGTAAGCGGACTGTGGGGGATCAAGCAAGCGGACTGTGGGGGATCAAGCAAGCGGACTGTGGGGGATCAAGCAAGCGGACTGTGGGGCATCAAGCAAGTGGACTGTGGGGGATCAAGCAAGCGGACTGTGGGGGATCAAGCAAGTGGGACTGTGGGGGATCAAGCGAGTGGACTGTGGGGGATCAAGCGAGTGGACTGTGGGGGATCAAGCGAGTGGACTGTGGGGGATCAAGTGAGTGGACTGTGGGGGATCAAGTGAGTGGAGTGTGGGGGATCAAGCAAGGGGACTGTGGGGGATCAAGCTACTACAATGGTGACCCTCTCACCAGGAAGCATGTGAAACTGAAGCTAAGAATTCAATATAGTATGATTTAGACTGATGAAGTACCGGACACTTTCATTCAATTGACAACCATTTACTGGTCCCCACTCTGTCAAATTCTATGTCGGAGATTGAAAAATCACCATTGTACTGTGGGGGATCAAGCAAGGGGACTGTGGGGGATCAAGTGAGTGGACTGTGGAGGATGAAGTAAGGGCTGCTGTGGGGGATCAAGCAAGGGGACTGTGGGGGATCAAGTGAGTGGACTGTGGAGGATGAAGTAAGGGCTGTGACTTAGTCAAATAGTCCCGATACTCAGTGGGCTCAATGGAAGCAGTAGCTGCTACAATGGTGATTTTTCCAGCACCTAAAACAATACTTGGCCCATAGGAGACACTCAGTACATTTTTGAATGAGTGACTGAGTAAATGGATTGGTGAATATCATAGAGAAAACTCTGCACTGGGCCTCAATTCTAATTCCATCTCCATCACTAACTAGCCCTTGAGTCCATCACTTCACTTCTCTGGGCCTCTAGTTTCCCCATCTGTAAATGAGGGGCCTGTACTTCATGGTTGCCAAGGTTACCTCCAGTGCTAAAATGCTGTAATTCTAAAAAGTCATCAGAGAGTATGAAGAAAATAGAGAAATAAGTGAGTTATAGGTTCCCTAGTTTAGGAGATTGAGTTACATAATGATGTTGCTAGTAAAGGCAGAAAGTACAGAAAGGGGTCAGTTTCTTCAGTACATTGAAATCGATAAGTTCAATTTTTTTTAAGAAATTCAATAGCACATATAATACATGAATCTGTTCCCTTTATACAATTTTTAAATATGTTCCACTTTTGTTTGGTGACACATGGTGAACTTGAGATGGCAGTGGATTTGTCTAAGTGAGATATGAGATATAGGTAAGGGTGCAATGCCAGATGTAAGGACAAGGAAATATAAACTTTTTGGTAAGAAATTAAATATCCAAGAGAAACCAGTATCTGAGCTTAAGACAGTTCCTCCAGATGCCCTCTTGTAGGGCTGACTGTTGTCACCAGTAGTCACTAGAGTTGGTTGGAAGTTAGAGCAAGCCCTGGTGAAGGCACTCTGGGATGCAGACAAGCCCCAGGGAGTTCTGTGCCAAGAACAGCCACATCCCACCTTCCTTGTTGTGGTGAAAAGATTTCTTGTGTGACTTTAGGCACAGGGACATTAGCTAGTAGCGTGTGACCCTGTGACTCATGGCCATCAGGAGTGACCCCAGCTCTGCATTCCATGTATAATACCTCACTTCACAACCCCCCTGCCCCATTTTGACCCAACTGTCCCCTTTGGACATTTCTTGGGATGACTCTGCCTGCATAAAACCCATAGTCAAATCCAGGTTAGCCTTTTCTGAGTTTTACATTTGGCAAATGCAAAATACTGTCCAGGGCAGCACTGTCAAAGCAGCTGCCACCTCCACTGACCTGCACTGCTCGAAGGTAATCAAGACCTGGCCCAGTGGGGCTGGTGACATGTCAAGCTTCCTGCCTGAGGTTGTCCCTAATTCTGCCAGGACTCCAAGAGACTGAAGGAGGTACTTTGTGATAGATCAGACACCCCTTTATCAGACCCAGTGAAGCACTATAGCTGCTTCGTTCATTGGAAAAGTTGGTAAGTAGAAAATCATTTTTAAAACGACATATGTACACCTTAAAGCACCATATGGAAAGGTAAGATATACAAAGGAACACTCATCTGACAGCCTTGTGAGGTAGGACCACAGTGTTCTCTTTGATTTTGAGCTGAATGATTTTAGTTTCTTAAATCAACCACACTCAAAATAAACTACCCTGTTTTGGTGTCTTTAAAGTGCATCAAGAATGTAAAGACATTTTTGTAGTCTTTTGTACATTGGCCCCTCTTAGATTTTTATTATTTTTCTTCCTTTTTCCAGTTATCTCACCTGTATCAAATTCACCAGCGACTGTCTTAGCTGACTCTCCTTCATTAAATTGTTCCAGATCATTCAACTGAGTTTTCATAGAAGCAACACTCTCTCTCTTTGCACATTAGTTTCACTGACACATGTAATATTTAGTGAACTTGTGTGATTAAAATAACAGATGTGCCTGACATAAGCAGATTTGGGAACAACCACAACTGACTCTTATTAGCACACAATTTGCCAGAAGTGTGGGCATGCCAGAGGGTAGGCTGCCGGCTTCCAGGCTCCAAAATGTCATAGGTATCAGTAAATTTTTCAGAACAAATGAATGAAGTAGGTTGATCCAGCAAAGAGTTGACTAGAGATCTCTTAGTAAAGAGATCTTGTTGTCCAACAACAAAATGATCACAGGTTCTCTCTGGCACTCCCTCTTGATCATTCTGTTGTTCATTTATTTATGCCATTCATCTACTGGTTTCCCTGGATTGTTCCACTTGGCTCTGGAGAAGGAGGAAGACATTGAAGAAGGAAAGGTAGGGAGAAGTGATGATGAAGGCCACGTCTGAGGAAGAAACAGGGAAACCACGGGCCAAAAACCTTTCCTTAGCCTGGGCTGAGAAACCTAAATTGTCTTCCCTTCCCATAGCCTTTTTACTGTACCTGGCAAGACAGGCTCTGGTGCTAGGGACAGGGATGAAAGCTGAGCAGGACATAGCCTCTGCCCTTAAAGAGACTTCAGCCTAGAGCAGGGGACAGTCTAGTAAATATAGGATTTCAGTGCAATGGAATTTAGTTCCATGGTCGAGGATGTGTAGATGCTATCTGAAACACCAACCTGGGTCTTCAAAGATTAGTAGGAGGTTGCCAGATAGACAGAGGGAAGGAGAGAAGAGAGAAAGACCTTCCACAAAAAGGACGCATATACAAAGGAATGAATCTAAAAGAGTTTGGTGGCCTCCCAGTGCCTGCATGAGGGAGAAGAAGTTGATGAGATAAGCAGTGAGCAGATCATAAAGAACCATATTTGCCACCCTAATGAACCCAGCCTTATTTCTGAGGCCATTGAGGATTCAAGGCAAAGCTTTTAGGCACAGGAGTAATGTGGTCATGTTTGTGAAATATCACTCCAAGTGAAGGATGTTCAGGGTGAAGCAGAGTAAGGAGGAAGAAGGGGAGTTGTCAGGATTGGAATATGGAGTCCTCATCTGATCATGACTACAAAAAGATTTCTAGAGGTCAGGGGTCATGATGTCCACTTAGAAAACATATTTTTCCCAGGGCAGTGCTGGGCACACAGCAAGGGTGGGCGGGCGGGATGGCTGGCTGGATGGATGGATGAATGGGTGAATGGATGGATAGATGGATGGATGGGCTTATAATTCCATTGTGCTGCTGGTTTTGTACATGTTGTCATTTCTTTTCTTCCCTCAGCCATCTATCTCTGTAAGAGGACAATGCAGAATAAAGCGAGGCTGGAACTGGCCGATTACGAAGCAGTAAGTATGATTATTTTCCAGGATATGAGAAGAGAGTAAAATCATATATGTAGCTCCATCTAAGCTTATTTTTTTTCTTCTGTCCCCCTTTCATCCCTTTCAGACAGTGGAAAGGAAGGATCTATTTCTCCTCCTTTGTTCTCACCTCCTCTGACCATCACAATAAGATTGTATTTTTACATAAATAACTCTTAAAATTCAACAATAAAAATATAAGCAGCTCAATTTAAAAATAGGCAAATGACTTAACAGATATTTTACCAAAGAGGACACAAGGATGATAAATAAGCCCATTAAAAGATGTTCAATATTATTAGCCATTTAGGAAATGCAGATTAAATCCATGGTGAGATACCATTACATACCTATTAGAATGGCCAAAATAAAAAATACTGATGATACCAAGTGATGGTGAGGGTGTCGAACAACTGTAACTCCCCTGCATTGCTAGTGGTAATGCAAAATGGTACAGCCACTCTAGAAAATTGTTTGGCAGCTTCTTATAAAGTTGAACAAACACTTAGCATATAACCAAGTAATCCCACTTCTATATACATACCCTAGAGAAATCAGAAATCATGTTCACACAAACACCTATAAACTAATGTTCACACAAGCTTAATCTGTGATAACCAAAAACTGAAAACAACCCAAATGCACTTTAACAGTTGAATGGTTAAGCTAACTGTGGTACATCCACACAATAGAATACTACTCTGCAGTAAAAAAGAATGAACTATTGATACACACAACCACTTGAATGAGTACCAAGGACACTATGTTGGGTGAAAGAAACCAATCTCAAGCCAGCCATTCCATTTGTAGGACATTCTTGAAAAGATAAAACTATCATGATGAAAAGCAGATCAATGATTGCTAGGGGTTATGGATGGGGTAGGGGATTTTTGGAAGATGATGGAACTGTTCTGTATCCTGATTGTGGTGGTGGTTGTATGAATCGATACATGTGTTAAAATTTACAGAATTCTACAGAAGGAAAAAAGTCAAATTTACTACATAATAATATTTTAAATCAAAATTTTAAATTGCATCTTTATACCCACTCTCCTCTGCTTAGTAACAGAGGCAGAATCTAAGGGTAAAATTCAATTGAGAAAGTAAGACAAGATGTATGTCACATGAGGTATCTACTTCCCAGCTTTCTTACTTTCCCCCTCTATCGTCCTTCATAAGATGGGACTTCTTGCAAAAATGAGAGGCCCCACCATCAAACTTGGGTCCATTCCCATTTGACAGAGCCCAGAAACCAAAGCACTTGAAAACTCATAGATCATTTACATTTTTTTTTAACTTTTGGTTGCAAAATTTTCCCCCCAAACTGAACTTTCTGTGGGTCACAGAGAATGGGAGAAATTGCCTGAACTTTCTTGTACCTTCCACTTCCCTCTCCCTATACGTCTTCCAAAGGATGTGCTGCTGAGCCATGAATGACTGAAAGGCCAGCAGCTGTGGGAGGAGGGGCAACATTAAGGGCAGCAGAGAATCCTTCCCTGCATAGTCCAGCATTAACAGCATCTTCAGACCCACCCACCTCCAAAACCCCTCCTGCTTTTACTGCCTCAGTCTTTCAAAACGAGTGTGAGGCCCTACTCTGCCAGGCTTTACCTCTCCTTGGTTCATGTTCCCAAGCCTACCACGCCAGCTGGGCCATCGCTCCCCTCTCTGCAGCCCAAGTATGAATGTACATGCCACTAGGGAGCAGGACCTGTGCGTGGCCCTTCACCTCTTTGATCCCACTGGCATTGTGGACCTGTGAATGCGGTGCAGGGGGCAGAAGAGGAAGAAGCAGTGCAGCAGTTTGTCCAGAGCCTCAGGACCTGGGTAGAGTTTGCATTATCAGATGATCATATGTTGGAACATTATAATCTCCCCAGATAAACCTTGGCCTGTTTGTTCTGTGGCTCTGGACATGCTGGGAGCCTGGTTGTGCCCTTGTCTGCCCCAATGTCCAGCAGTCACATCACCCTCCTTCAAAAGACTGCTGTTGTACTCTTTGTGCACCCAGTGCAAGTAGCTTTGACATGATGACGTTACTTCCTTAACACAACCTCGAGGAAAGGCCCAGACTGTAGAAGCCTGGGGCCCCTCCCTCCCGTGTGTCTCTTCCCCATATTTTCAATGTTTTAGAGACAGGTCCCATACAGAAATCAGACAGCATCAACTCCTGCTGTATTTGATTCAATTTCTCTTATCTTGTCCCTTAATGTTCTGCTGTGGTATTTGTAAAGAATATGGCACTGAGGCCAGGTGTGGTGGCTCATGCCTATAGTCCCCAAGGTGGGCAGATCACGAGGTCAGGAGATCGAGACCATCCTGGCTAACATGCTGAAACCTGTCTCTACTAAAAATACAAAAAATTAGCCAGGCGTGGCGGCACACGCCTGTAGTCCCAGCTACTCAGGAGGCTGAGGCAGGAGAATCCCTTGAACCTGGTAGGCGGAGGTTGTGAGCCAAGATCACGCCACTGCACTGCAGCCTGGGCAACAGAGCAAGACTCCATCTCAAAAAAAAAAAAAAAAAAACAAGGAATATGGCATTGAGATGTGCTCTCAGGTTGAAGTTCTGCACAAAAATGATTCAAAACCAAAACATTTTGCTTCCAGAATGCAATAATTTTTTATAAATTTTCTGATTACATATTCTTTTTATAAAAACAAAAATTCAAACAGCAAAGAAAGGAGAGAATATAACCCGTGACTTCCCCCCACCTAAGTTTTTTCTATGCATACATTTTTTTCTTTACAAAACTATATTAGAATCATACCATAAACATTATTGTGGCAGCTGCTTCTCTTTCCCCAGTCATTATACTGTAGGTATCTCGGGGTCCTTACCATGTCAGTAACTATAATCTACATTACTGTGTTTAATGGCTGCCTAGAATTCTATACTACGACTGTGTCACAGTTGATTGACATTGAGGCACTACCAATTTTGCTTCCTGTGAGCAGTGGAAGAGTCAAAAAGACAGTTTTTTAGAACTACTTGTGCACCAAGCCTAGGTAATAACTGTGAGCTCATGTGTGATACTCTCCAACTGAAGCTCCTTTTATATTAATAATCCATTAATGAGGGTAATCAATTAGTGTTGGCATGAGCTCTATGAAAATACATAGCATAATATGGGCTCCAGCCTTGCATTCATCAGAATTAGGAGGATCATTAGGGTGCCTGTCAAACTCCCCTCCTCACCGCTCATCCTCTTGTTCTATTAGGTAACTCTACAGACTTAGAGAAAATACTTTTATTTTTCTCTAATGCCAACCCTCAATGACTTTTCTTTCTGTTTTTGGCTTTTTCTTTCATGAACATCACAAACATAGACACTCTCTTTGGGCCACTTTTTTCTTTTAGACGGAGTTTCACTCTTGTTGCCCAGGCTGCAGTGCAGTGGCCGGATCTCGGCTCACTGCAACCTCCCCGCCTCCCGGGTTCAAACGATTCTCCTCTCTCAGTCTCCCAAGTAGCTGGGATTACAGGCACCTGCCACTACGCCGAGCTAATTTTTGTAATTTTAGTAGAGACGGGGTTTCACCTTCAACGTTGACCAGGCTGGTCTCGAACTCCTGACCTCAGGTGATCCACCTGCTTCGGCCTTCCAAAGTGCTGGGATTACAGGTGTGAGCCACCGCACCCAGCCTCAGCCACTTTTGAATCCTGACATTAGAAAAAGCATGAAAGTCGGGTCCCCTTGGTTCTCCTTTCCTGTGACCAGTCCTGAGAAATCCAGCCTTGGTTTTGTGCCTAGAGATACCAACAGGTGGCAAAGACTCGTTGTTAATTCCCCAGTAGCCACAGACAATTTTCCCTATTTTCAGCAACCTTTGAAACAAGTGCTGTGTGAGTTGCATTCTTGTAAAACACATAAGAAGAGAGGAATCAGGTGAACCACAGAGACCTCAGACTTAATGGGTGTGTAAATGAATATTAATAGTTCAGCTCTGTACATCAGGGTCTGGTGCAAAGTCAAATTGGATACATGTCCAGGGGCTTTAAAGCAGGTCTTGCTATTCTGTTGGAAGTAACCAGAATGGATGGCTGCCTTATAATAAGCATAGGTGTCGATGTGCTAATTTACGATGATTAATGTCTTCTTGTTGATTTTCATTTCTCATTAGGAAAACTTAGCAAGACTCCAGAGGGCCTTTGCAAGGAAGTGGGAATTCATCTTTATGCAAGCAGAAGCACAAGTAAAGTAGGTGAACTTAATAGAGACCATTTCAGAGAGGAAAAGACTCTGGAATTTGGAAATGGTGTGAAGGTGGGATTGTCAAAGTGAAGTTTCCAGATGGCGTTAGTATTTCTAGTCTGGCATGAGGGCAACTGAGTAGAAATTAAGGTCAGGATGGATAAGTTTCACCTTCATAACCAACGCTACTGTAAAACAATTTCAGAAATGTGTGTTTCCGCCGACAAGGGAGATCCTCCCAAAGGTAGAACTCTGGTTATAAGAAGGTGTATCTATTTCCCCGAGAGATTTCCAGTTATTTTCTGTGCTCAAAGGCTGAAAGCCCGTTTTACCTGTTGGACTGGAGATTTTGTCTTCATAGGAAAACAGGTTGGAGTTTCAGGAAGAACAACAAGTAGCCCGTATCTTCTTCTCCCTGACAGGGGAGGAGTTGGAACCAATAGAAAACTAAGGCACAGAAGTCAGACAGTTGGAGTCCAAAATATCAGATTATTACATTAATTAAAAAACAAGAGTAAGGCCGGGCACAGTGGCTTATGCCTGTAATCCCAGCACTCTGGGAAGCTAAGGCAGGCAGATCACCTGAGGTCGGGAGATGGAGACCAGCCTGACCAACATGGTGAAACCCTGTCTCAACTAAAAACACAAAATTAGCTAGGCATGGTGGTACATCCCTGTAATCCCAGCTACTCAGGAGGCTGAGACAGGAGAATTGCTTGAACCCAGGAGGTAGAGGTTGCGGTGAGCTGAGATTATGCCATTGCATTCCAGTCTGGGCAATAAAAGCAAAACTCCATCTCAAAACAAAACAAAACAAAAACAAAAAAAACAAGATTATAAGGCATGACATTGGATATGTGGCCACAGGTGCAAATTAAACCTGCCCTTCCTGGACAGAGGTGTGTATCTATAGGCCTCCTCTCCCCAGCGTCTCCACCCCACCCCACCCCACCAGGGCAGAGGTGACCCCTGTAAGTTTTCTGCATGCAGAAAGCAGCTATCCTGAGCACAGGCTGACCCAGATGGGGGCCCAGAGAGGGAGAGTCTGAACTTTCTCAGTTTCTTCTTTCAAGTCTACCAATTAGTTGAGTCATTTTTCCTCCCCAAAGGACAAGAGATGAAAGGAAGAAAATAGTCGGAAGGGTTTTTCCCAGAATTTTTTCTCCTGGATACATACTGGACATTTCTTCCTCTCTAAGGAAACATGAGGAATGGGTACTCTGCATTCCCTACCCCACAAACATGGTTGTCAACCAGATCCATTTAATTCTGGGAAACAGAATGATTGGATCTGGATCTCCCCTGTCCTTCCCAGGGGTGATGTCTAGGTTAGCCAGGATGGTTAACAGGAGAAGTAGGACAGGAGCAGGAAAGGGATGCCTAGCTGGGAGACTAGGACTATGTTTCCTCTGGGTACCACTTGCATGTGAGCAGCCGCTGAGTCTTCAGAGCAACCCTCTCACATTCCAGAGTGGTGTTGCAGCCCATGGCCTGGAGCCGGGTCTCAGGCTGTGTGGGTGTAGACTCATCACAGCTATGGTCACAGTTGGAAGTGACCTGAGGCCATCTGGTGTAGTGGCCTGTACACTGCCATTGTTGTGACCCTCCCCCAACAGTCTCTGCCTTTCTCCTGTCCATGATGCCAGCCACCTCCTGACCACCCAGCAGCCCCCGGGGTAGGTGGGTACCAGGCATTGGGTGCCCCCGAAGAGGTGAAGGTGGGAGAGTAGGTGAGATGGAGGCTGAGATTCAACTGGACTAAGGCGGAATTGCGCCTGTGTACTCAGAAGCCACTGGAAAGCAAAGAGGAATGCTAATTCTTCCAGAATCAAACAGCATCACAAGTTATAAACGGAGGGGAAATTGTTACTTCATAAATATATGCTATTTCTCGATTAACTTTTTTGATTAACTCTGTGATTACATTATAATTGTGGGCCACCTAAGTACACAGTAATTATCACAAAAATCACAGGGTGATTATGGGTTTATTTCAGTCCGGTAAACTAAAGCGTTCCCAAGAGAGCCGAGAACCAGGAGTTACACGGCAATTAATCTGAGTTGCTTTTTACTTGAAGAAATAAAATGAAGTAATACATGCTTTAAAAAAAAAAAAAAAAGAAGAAAGAAAAAGAAAAAACCTCTTATCTATGCTGCAGATCAGAACAATAAGTCTTTGTCACCTGCAATTTCCCTCTTGCAATTTGTGCCTCCCCCAGCTGAGGCAGGGATATTTGCCTCCTGGATCTTGTCTCATGCGAGGGCCATTATTCTGCCTTTAGAAAGCCAGATTGTGTAAGTGACTTATAAAACACTTAATTGCAGCATTTTAAAGACATTTCTTTCTACTGATTCTAAATCTAAAGCAAACTTTCAAATTTGAACATGGAACACTGGTGAGACAGTGGTTATATTCCATCTTATAATTTGTATATGCAGTATTCTTTTTGATGAGGGGGCATATCAATGGATAATTCAGTTTTTAATAATCCAAATCTTAATACTTCAGATGAACAGCTGCATTCTTATTCTTCCCTTAGGCCACCATGTTCATTACACATATATGGCAATCTGTAATCTCGCCTAAAACAAGTTGTCTTACCATGTGTGGAATTTCAGGGGTTTTCAGGGAGGGGAATTATACACCCCTATTTCACAGCTCTGCAGAGAGCAGGCACCATGCGGGTACCAATGGTCTTGTGTTCACTTAGCTCCTAGAAACAGGAGCAAATGCTGGAGCAAGTGTCAGCAGGGAAAACAGAATACAGAGCCTCTTATTTCCTTCCTCTCTTTACTCTTTCAGGATTGACCGGAAAAAGGACAAGACAGAAAGGAAAATTTTGGATAGTCAAGAACGAGCCTTTTGGGATGTCCACAGGCCTGTGGTGAGAAAGCTCTACTCAGTTCTCTAGATCTTTTTTCTTAATTTTTCATTTTTATCTCTATAGGGAAAAGACCCTCTTTAGCCACCAGGTGTCTCATTCTTAAGAAAATCGCCGAGCTTTGTGGAACTGGTTTTGCCATTCATTTATATAATCTCAGTAAATTTCCTGGAATATATGTAAGTTCCACCTTTTAAAAAATTATTCATTCATGAAAATATGGAATTGCAAAAAGAGAAGCTATGGAAATTCCACCAAAAGACCTTTGGGTCCCAAAGGTTTACATTCCCCAAATTAACAATTTCCATTTCCACTGCTATTCAACTCTAAATCTTAAACTATTCTCTGTCGAATACAGTTAATTCTTGTTATCCATGGCAGCTATGTTCTATAAAGTCTTTGCAAACACTGAACTAGCGCACATTGAAGCATCACTCCCATGGGAACTACCAAGCTAGGTCCCTGTGAGCCTGTGGCCACAACATTTTTATCGGCTGATCAATACATAACCTTTTAAATGTGTTTCTGTGTAAAGACACCTTACGTAATATATATCATTGATGCATTAACATTAAACTCATGGACAACAGCACTATTGTTCATGCCTGCACAAAGCTTCGCTAACATGTTTATTTCCTCCTAAGGCACATTAGACTCTTGCTTGGGAACGGTGGACAGCACTTCAGCACTGTCCTTGGGGCCATCTTAAACAGCAAAATCACCAACAAAAAGCACAGAAATGCAGAAAAGTTGCCACTAAGTTAGCCCTAAATAGACGGGCCTGAAACAAAAAGGCGGGACATCACCTTGTTCAATTTCAGTGGGAAACACGCACATCAGTCTACTCAAGGTGCAACTACTGATGAGGCGGTTATAAAAGAAATTGAGGAAGTAGGCAAATTCACAAATGCAAAAATGTGTAAATAATGAGGTTTGACTGTATTTCTGATTTCATGTTATTAAAACAAACCTTGCATTTTCCTTACGGAAATGGAACTAAAAAGAATAAACTGTTGGTCTTCTTAAAATTTAATTAAAAGCAAAAAATTAATAAATAACTACTCATCCTGATATCATGGAGTCTTTTTCAAATGGTTAAGTATGTTTAAAAAAAATTTTTACAGGGCTGTACCTGATGCAATCTTGCCACTTGAATAGCTAATTTGCTCTTAAAAACTGTGCACTATACCCTCTACATATCATCCTTAGATTATGAGGTAAGCTTTTCTATATCATATTAGAACTCCACAGAGGAACACATATTATGGCAAAATGGAAAAAAATCATGCATTGTCTGTAATGGAAAAAGATAAAGATTGATCCTGTTGGTGTGACATGGGCTAAATTGGAAGTGTAATTTTCACATAGTAATTTATGTGATGTGTGTGGTTTTTTTTCTCAGCCAGGCTGTGTGAACACAACAGAAATGGACATCCGAAAATGTCGACGTTTGAAGAATCCACAAAAGGTTAAAAAGGTTCGCTAGTTTAGCTGAGTTAAAAATTCCTGATGTAAATAGCCCTTCCAGTTCTAGTACTATTCAAATAGTAATTTGCTACTTGTAATTCCGCCACCTTTTGTCTTTTGAAACTGTAACCATTTCACAAATATTGATTGAGCAGCTGATGCATGCTTGGTGCTGTGCTGGTGCTAGGATACAGTGGCAGGTCCTCACGGAGCCCAAAGCATGGCAGGGAGTAAAACAAGCCAACAGGCAACAGGGCCATGAATGCTGTGTTAGGAGATGTACAAGACAGTTGAGGAGCCCAGGAGGGGCAGCTAAGCCAGACCTGGAGGGGACGGGGGTAAGGGGCTTCCCAAGGACTTCCTGAAAGAGGGTCAGGTGTTCTGAAGGGTTAAGTTCTAGTTGTCTCTGGGGAGGTGGCAGGGAAGGCAGGAAACAAAAGGAACAAGAAGTGGCAAACTCACAGGTGAAAGCAAGCTTTGTACTTAGAAGCAAATGAAAGTCTCTTTTATGTTTTATTTTATTTTATTTTATTTTTTGATAGAGCTGGATCACCCAAACTCAAACCACCATCTTGCCCAACTGTGAATGACCCAGTGGTCTCTTGTGTTTCACTTTACTGAAAGGAGTAGTGGCCACAGCATGTCTGAGGGTACCATGGTCAGACTCCCCCACAATTTGTACATCCCACCCTCTCTACAGCACCAGGGACAATATTGCAGGAGAGCATGACCAGACTCTATAATATTAATTTCCAAAGAGTGGGCCGGGTGCATTGGCTCACACCTGTTATCCCAACACTTTGGGAGGCTGAGGCAGGTGGATCACCTGAGGTTGGGAGTTCAAGACCAGCTTGACCAAGAAAGAATAGAGAAACCCTGTCTCTACTAAAAATACAAAATTAGCTGGGCACGGTGGTGCATACCTGTAATTCCAGCTTCTTGGGAGGCTGAGGCAGAAGAATCACTTGAACCCGGGAGGCAGAGGTTGCGGTGAGCCAAGGTCGTGCCATTTCACTCCAGCCTGGGCGACAAGAGTGAGACTCCGTCTCAAAAAACAAAAAAAAAAATATCCAAAGAATGGAGATGCATCCCCAAGCATTTATATTTCTTGTGATGATCAATTAGCTCTCTTTCATGTATGTATCAAAAAAAAAAACACACACACACACACACTAGACATGGCATATGTATATAAACTTCTTTAATCTACTTACATATTTTGTTCTTCACTGAGATAATAATACCCACTGTATTATATTTTAAAATGTTATTCCTAAAATGTCCTCATTTCATCTTCAAGAGCCCCATAATTCTAACATTACAGAAGTTCATGGAGTCTCATCCACCTTATCTGAGCCCTTTTTCATTTTGATGATGTTGACTACACATTGCTTGCCCTTCAGGGTTTCGTTTCTTTCCCATTGTGAAGATTGTGTTTAGTCTGTCCATAATACCAGGAACAGCTTTAAACGTAGCTATAGCTACAGACATGTGGAGAAACTGAGGCCAGAAAAGTGTTTAACTTGAACGGGAAACCCTGAAAGGCTGCCACCCCAGTTTTGTACCAGATGGGCATCTGCTGACCAACAGAAATGTAGAGGGGATCTTTTGTGCATACTCTTCGGCAGTGGTTCTTGAACTTTCTTTATTCAGAATCTTTTGGGGCATTTGATAAAAATGCAGATTTCCAAACCCACCCAGAAAGATTCTGATGCAGTAAGTCCAGGGGGTGAGGGGATACTCAGCAACATGTCTTTTCCAAGCACACCCGGGTGATTCTTTGTAGATGGTCTATGAATCATATCTGGAGAAACACTGAGATACAAGGAGGCTATTTTCAGCCCAGTAAAAGGCATGATTTGGGTTATAGTGGTACCCCAAAGATGAGATGGCATGCCTTAAGAGGCAGCATTCTCATCATTGAAGAAATAAAAGCAGAGACCAATCTCGTATTGTCATGAGGGGATTCAGGAAATTGGATGAGTCATTGAACTAGCTGACCCCTAAGCCACCCTCCGACTCTGCAGGTGGATGACACTCTGTGCTTGCTTCTTCTCCTAGTCCGTGTATGGCGTGACTGAAGAGTCCCAGGCACAGAGCCCAGTGCATGTACTCAGCCAACCAATCAGGAAAACAACAAAAGAGGACATCCGGAAACAGGTGAATGAATTGACGGCTCGCATTCCCAGGAGGAGACGGGGCCAGTTTAAAAACCCTTTCAAATGTTCACCTCTGAAGATTGAGCAAGCTTTGAGTTCCTGGAAACCACAGTGGAACCCAGCTGTGGGTGATTGAACCTTTAAGTGCTGTGTGTGAACGAGCCACGGAAGCTTGAGAGAGAATTGTCTACCCAGTTCCTCCAGCAGTTATTAGAAAAGGGTGTAAATGAGTCATCCCGTGCCTTGGGGTAACTGCTGTAGTGGGGTTTCCCACAGTCCGCTGTGGGAGCTGGAGGAAGGAGCAGGCTTATGTCACACAGTCCTTATAATTGGAATGCACTTCCAGACTAAACCAGCTCAGGATGATGTACTTTATTGCTGTGATTTGAAAGGAAAGCTTAAGAATAAATGAAGCCCTACTCCCAATGCCTTTTCAGCATTACTTGGTTGAATGTTATTTTCTTTCATGTTGAGGAGCCCAGGTCAACAGACAATGGCTAATTGTATTACTTCCTTCTGATATTTACTGGTAACAAAGTAACCTACTGTTTATATTATGTCTTGCTGGTTTCTAGAGGGCAAAACCCAAAGGAGAAAACTTTTAGGTGCTTGCCCTTGACAAATGTATTATCTGAGGGTAAGAGGTAATGGATTTATGAAAAAAAGCTATTTGGCCAGGCTCAGTGGCTCATGCCTGTAATCCCAGCACTTTGTGAGGCCGAGGCAGGTGGATCATCTGAGGTAAGGAGTTCGAGACCAGGCTGACCAATATGATGAAACCCCATCTCTACTAAAAATACAAAAAAGTTAGCCAGGCGTGGTGGCTTGTGACTGTAGTCCCAGCTACTCAGGAGGCCAAGAGAGGAGAATCGCTTGAACCTGGGAGGCAGAGGTTGCAGTGAGCCGAGATCATGCCACTGCACTCTAGCCTGGGCAACAGAATGAGACTATCTCAAAAACAAAAAACAAAAAACAAAACAAAACAAAAAAAAAAAACGGAAAAAAAGCTCTTTGATGATTCCAGTCAAGCATGCCAAGGACACAGGTGTGACGTGCATGTGAAAGGTGGGCAGAGGAGGGGTCACTGGGGATTATTCAAAACAGGTATTTATGGTGCACATTTCACCTGTCCGTGCCGTTGTTAAGTTTTGTAGAATATATATTGCCTTTAAGTTTTGGAAAGCAAGACTTAAATCACACCACAGTAGAGGAGGAGAGGAGACACAGGCTAAATTGTAGAATGTGAATCTTGTATGATAGGGATGTCCAGAGGCACAAGTAAGTTGCTGGAGGGCAGAGCTGAGGGAGTTGGAGATGTCTGGCCAGAGGAGCTATTTGGATCTTGGTGGAAATGCAGGATTTGGGTTTGTGGAGTGAGGGGCAAAAATACTTGTAGTTTGGTCTTAATGTCCGTGTTCTCTATTTTCCCAGATAACATTTTTGAACACACAGATCGACAGACATTGTTTGAAAATGTCCAAAGTGGCTGAAAGGTATGTTTTCCTTCAATAATATTACTGCTTTCTTCTAATTTAACAGGGAAGAAATGTTACAGGGTTATGGTTAACAAATGTGTTCAACGCCAAGAGTGAGACTGCAGTTATTCCTTAGACTGGGGTGCAAAAAAACCCACAGGCTCCATGTGAGTATAACTAAGATAACAGACCTCCCTTGAGTGATGTCAAGAAATGTTCCATTGCTAAGGCTTTACAGGGGGTGGCCACGGGACCTTGTCAATCAAGGAAGAATGTCCTTTAAAGCTACATAATGCACCTTTGCCTTCAGCCTCTTGATTAATTCAAATGGAAATTGCTCCCTTTTCAGCTATAAAATGCCCAGATTCACTTTATAGGGGAAAAGAAATTATGCGTGTCCTTTGAGGCGCTGGCCACATAGACAGGAGGGGACTGGATCATCAGGAAGAGTTCCGCCTCCACACGCCATCAACCACTGAACTGCATTGAATCAACTGTAAAGAAAATATTTGGCCCCTCCAGCCTGGCTTCCACAGCGATGTGTGTGCTTCAGTCTGCACCAGTAGCTGGTTCCACTCTGTTAACTCGTGGGAGACTCAATAGACTCAATTTTATCAACTAAATGGTCTGTTTTTTTAACTCTTCCGTGAAGACGGGAGACCACATGGGGAATCTATATGGAATAAATCTAACCAGGCAGCTCAGTAGTGAACATTTATTCGTCCATATGCTACTGTTAAAGCAATGACCAATTGCTGAAGGAATCAAGAGCTTAAGTTGGGTCTTGGTATTTATGGGATGTCAGATAAACTGAGTCTTTTAAGCCCAGCTCCTACAGGGGGCTGGCAGTGTGAGCTCCCTGTAAGCCTATAAGCCTTTCTCTGCTGGCCCCTGGGTTGATTCACATCTTTTTTCTAGATAAATTACAACAAACGGAAGGTATAAAAACTCCAACCCCAAACAAAGAGTCTGATTGAATACCCTACCTTCAGGGGCTAAGGACACCCCTGAACTTGGGCTCACATCTTTATTCCAGGGTTTCTCAATCATGGTGCTAGTGACATTCTGAGCCAGATAATTCTTTGTTGTGTTCTTAATGTCCTATGAATTATAGGATATTTAGCAGCATTCCTGACCTCTCCCCATTAGAGGCCAGTAGTCCCCCTACCACAATTGTGAGAATCAAAAATGTCTCCAGACATTGCCAAATGTCCCCCGGTGGGGTGAAAGTCACTCCCATTGAGAATCACTGATATTCCTGCTTTTTCTATGCAAATGTTCTGGAAAGTTGCCGTGGCTGGAGCTCAGCTTACAGTCAGGTAGTGATCACTCTGGAGTTGCCGTTTCAGCTAGCTGTGTATGCTGCAGAATCACCTCATACCTCCTCTCTCATCATGTGTGGCTTCTGGCCAGAGTACCAGGCTTTGAAAATGCTTTTTAGGGCTCACTGTGGTTCCTTTGCCCCAGAAAGGTGGCTGTGAGTGAAACAGCAGCATGGTCTCAACTCTCTTGGTGTCATCCATGGCCTGTGAGGAACCACGAGCTTCTTTCTCTGTGAACTAGGGACAGAAATGGCTGTCCTAGTATACGTTGAGGGTCGGTGTGCTAGCAATGCTCATATCTGGCTTTGAAAGGTGGAAGGGCTCTTTAGGGTTTGCAGTTTAGAAGAGCATATATATGGGAGCATCTTTCTTTGGATCTATTTGCTCAGGTCCAGTGGTTCTAAGAACCATAATCCAGGTGAGGGAGGGGGTTAAAAAATGGAAATTCTCAAGCCTCAGCCCTAGGGATTCAGATTCAGTGGTTCCAGGGTAGAGCCAAGAAATTCACATTTTGGATAATCATCAAGTGGACTGATCTGGTCTTTCAGGATCCAGTGAAGCCATTGCCTGCTACTCAGGCTGACCTGAGAGCTCACATACAATTTGTTGTATCTTTGGGATGCAGAGAAAGAGCCTGAACCCATCAGCATGAGGTAGGCAGACTCCAGGGCAGGTGTGCCGGGAGGCCAAGGAATGGAAGAAACCAAGGTGGCGGCAGGGAACCCGGCCCATCCTATTGTTTGTTTGTTTCCTTGCTGTCAGGGAGGGGCCCCACCTGGTACCACCTAATTACGCTTGAGAGGCTGCTCATATTGAAGGATTATTCCAACTGGCTACTCCTCGGTGCCCAGCTAGAAGCTTTCATGAGTCTCTGCCCGGCAGAGGCTGGATTTTATTCCCAGCAGCAATAACTGGCAACTTTTCAATGTGACACGAGGGTTTTTCATTAGAGCCGCAAGGAAACCCCCAGATAAGGAGGAGGAGGGAAAGGAGATGCGTGTTAGCTGGAGATAAAGCAGCTGGGAGCTGGGCCTGTCAGTGACTCTGTGAGGATGGGGCCAGGGAGGAGGTGCTGGCAGCTAGTGAGAAGCTGCCAGAGATCAGGCTGAGCTCTCTCAGGTGGACACATACATCCCCATCCCGATCTGGCTTCCCTGGGCCTGCTCCAGGTGATAAGTGGCAATTCATCAGAACCACATCCCCCAGGAAAGGACTTCATTGTTTTTCACTCAGTTCTATGAGAACTAATAGTGGGGAGAGGCAGGAGGGTTGGGGTCAGCGAGTCTGGGCTCTGGGATGTCTACAGTCAGGGTTGGACTAAAGGGTGCATCCAGACCAGCAGGGAGGGAAAAAGGGAACTTTGCAAACTAAAGGGGCAGAACAGACAGTTTAGGGGATGGGTCTGGAACCCACCATCGAGGTTTGAATCCTGCCCCTGCCATTTCCTATTTTCTAACTGATGAAACCAGTGGCTTCTTCTCTCAGTGCCTGTTTTCACCTCTTTAGAGGGGAGTTAGTAGTTGTATTTAAATTATAGGGTTAATGAGTTCATGCATGGCAAAAGCAGGGTCCAGTCCTTGGGACTCAGTCTGTACACTAGGAATGTGAATAATTATTATTTTCCAGCGTGACACTTAACTGTGCTTTGGAAGAGAGCAGAATTCAAGTGCGTGAGACGGAATGAACTGGATATATTACTTAAAGGAGCAAACAAAGGGCAGGCCAAGGAGGGAGACTGCTAATGCAATTCTTTCCTGCACCCTCTGTCTCCCCTCAGTCTCCCACACAGAGATCTCTGCAGTCCGCCTAAGGCTGACCTTACGTTGCATGTCTCCTTCCACTGCCCCACACGCCGTCACTAATCTGGGGCTTTGGAGGAGAAAAGACGTGCTCTTCTGCACAGAATTTCTCAGATCGTCCCAATTCCAAATATTCTGTCCATTATCTTCCTGAGTGCTTAAGTGTCCCCAAAATGCCAGCATCATGGCAACCAAACTACATTTCCTAGGCTGCCTTTTGCACCTGGAAGCAACACAAAGGCTTTCTGAGCTGTTACCCAATTTTTGTTGCAGAATGTATTGTCCCTGCACACACACATGAGTGTCTCAGAAAAATGACACTTAACACCCTGAGCTTTTTATTTTAACTATTTTTTAATGACAGTCTTTCTTAAATATGGTTCATCCACCTGCCTTCCTAACAAAAGGACACTACATTTCAGTTAATTTTTCTAGATGACTCAGAGTCAGTAGTCTTCTATTATGCTTTAAAACTGTCGGTGGTCAGGATCTTATAAGGTGCCACAAACTGCTTCTCTGTCCCTAAATGGCCCCAGATGATAATATTCTTTGAATTCCTGTTTCTGCCTTTTAGTTTTCTGTTTGTCTGCTTGTCTCTACTGGCCCTTCCCCCTCGCTACCCAACCCCTGCTTTCCAATCTGTAGCAGACCATGTGTATCAGTTAGCTGTTGCTGAGTAACAAAACACCCCAAACCTCAGTGGCTTAAAAAATAGGCTTTCACTATTGCTCACATATCTATGTGCCACCTGGCTCCACTGGTCTCAGCCATGTTTCTCTATGTGACTGTGGGTTGGCTAGGCAGCTCTGCTGCTCTTCGCTGGGCTCTCTCACATGTTTGGCTTCTGCTGGTTTAGGATGGCCTCAGCTGGGACAGTTGAGTGCTCCTTAACATGGTCTCTCACCCTCCAGCAGGCTAGTTTGACCTTTTCCACATGGGGATAGTGGGATTCCAAGAGAGAGAACAGAAGCATGCAAAACTCTTGCAGATTAGAACTGGCATTCTGTCACTTCTGTTGCCTTTTATTGGCTAAAACAAGTCACTAAGCTGGACTAGATTCAAGGGTTGACGAAATAGACTCCTTTTTTGAAACTGAACTACCACACCAGGAAATCAAATAACCAAATTGATTAGCTTTGATCCTAAAGCAAGTGTGAAAAGTCTTTTTTGTGAGGTATGTTGTTCCCAATAACAATGAACCTTGAGACATGGTGTTTATTTCATCATGTTCAGAGGCTCTTATGCTCACTTATCTCATTTGTGTTCTCTGGACAATTGAAGCTGCCAGATAAATGAGGTCTTACTCTTCTTTGCAAGCATCCCCAAGGGAGTCCCTTTTTTTACTTCACCTAAGCCTTATAGCACTTGACAAACCAGCTTTGAGAAGCAACAGTCCATGCATTTTAGTCCCAAACTATCTAGAGTCTCCATGTTTGGCTGCGATTCCCCAGAGACTTCTCCCCACCCATAGCAAGCTACACCACAATCGCTGCAGCTATCCCAATGCACTGCCGCACATGGAGGGATCAAAATGTTTCATTCCGTACCTGCATCTGTATTTGGCTCATCCTCACCCTATTACTGGGAGCCATTTGTGTGTCACAGCTGACTGCTGAATTGATTTTTTTTAGCATCATCTTGCTTGCCCGTATCTGAGATTGCCGCTGCTCCCTGAAATTGGATGCTGGTTCTTCCTCCACCTCCTGACCCTCAGTGATCATGAAATGTAATTAATGAAATGAGATAAGACAGCAAGGGACTGGATACCATAAGGGTCTGTTAAAAACCTGCTAGGGTGATAGAGGTTTGTGAACTTAATGTCTAATGATAGTTTCAGGGGAGGAAAAACGAGGGTCACAGAAGTCATTACAACTTTGCTTTTATGGAATTCCAGAAA